AAATGAGGCCAGCGCTGCAGCGGGAGCATTATTCGGAACGAGCGGGGCCCGAAAATGAGGCCGGCGCCTCAGCGAGAGCAGCATTTAAAAAAATGCAGGCGGAAACCCAATTCCAGGGAAACCTGTGTGTAAAAAACAGTACGCGGGGGGGGGCGGGGGGGTCGAGCGCATTCAAACCGTCATCAGGGGAAGAGGAAGAGTAGTATTCATATTGAGTAATTGTGGAGGAGGAGGAGGAGGAGGAGGAGGACGAGGAGGAGGAGGGAAGGAGGAGGATGAGGAGGAGAGGAGGAGGAGAGGAGAAGGAGGGACGAGGAGGAGGAGGAGGAGGAGGAGGAGGAGGGCGCAGCAGCAGCAGCAGCAGGAGGAGGAGGAGGAGAGGAGGAGGAGGAGGAGGAGGAGGGGGGGAGGGGGAGGAAAAGGAGGAGCAGGAGGAGCAGGAGGAGGAGGAGGAAGAGGAGGAGGAGGAGGAGGGGATGGGGAGGAAAAGGAGGAGGAGGAGAAGCAGGAGGAGGAGAAGGAGGAGGAGGAGGAGGAGGAGAAGGAGGAGGAGGAGGAGGGGGAGGACCCCTCCCCCCTCGGGCCCCCCCGCACGGGGCTCTTATGAACTGGGACACTTGCACGCCCGAGAAGATTGCAGCCGTGGGTTTTTCCTTTCCCCCAGGCTCGAAGGAGTTGCGACGTGGGCGATCCAGGCTCCGCAGGCTTCGTGGCTTGGCGGTAGCTTGCCGGCAGCCTCGTGGGGTTTACGTAGAGTGGAGCCAACCTGATGGATTTGTTCGACTAGTTCGACCCAAGTTCGACTCAAGTTCGACTCAGGTTCGATTCAGGGTCCATTCAAATCGATGGACGTTCGACGCAGTTTCGACGCAAGAGTGGAGCGTGTGTCTCCAGGAAGGTCCCCAGAATGAGCATCCAACAATCGGTCATTCATCTCTGACGGGGGCCCAATAGCCCACCCCGTCCAGGGCCGTGCGGTCTTGCCATCGGGGGCGCGTCGTCGATCTGTCGGCCACGCATCGCCGCTCCCAGGTCGACGTCCACCCCCCCGTGAGCCAGCCCTCCCATTTTCAGGTGCTGCCTTATTCATCCCCCCCCCCCTTAAAAACCGGACCCCCCCTCCAAATGTAGTATTCCGGACCCCCCTCTTCAACGGGGCGCGTCAATAAACCGGACCCCTTAAGCTCCAATCCAAAGAAAGCGCCCTAGTAAACTCGACCCCCCTGCTAAAAAAAGGCGCCTTGAAAACCAGACCCGGGGGACGACTAATAAGGGATTTGGAGTAGAAGTGTCCCTGGCCCAAGGTGCCCCCCAGGATGTCCAAGGAGACCCTCACGAGGCCCAGGGGGCCCCAGAGGCTCCAAGATGGAGCGAAAAGCTGGGGGTACCTTGGGCCAGGGGCACCTTTAGCCACCCCGTCGACCTTTACCGCTCCCCCTTAGAGAGGGGGAGAACGAACAACGAGTTGCGTGCAGCCGGTACCAGCCCCGCCGCCAGGGCGCTGTCGTCGAGACGTGGCCGCTTCCGGCGCGAGGAGAGCCAGCTGCGCGAGCTGGTTCGAGCCATGCCTTTCCAGAGGGACCCCCGCGCGGCTTTCTCGGATGATTGGCTGCGGACCCCTCGCGGATTTCTCCGATCGGCGCGCACAGTGCGCCAGGGTGTCCAGCGCCGATCCGAGGAATCCGCGCCGATCCGAGAAGTCCGCGTACGTGCTTTGTCGCTCCTCTGCCGAACTGACCCCCCCCCCTGGGCAAAAGGTGTGGGCAGCTCACGGGCGGGCATTGCACGTATCCTCTGGGGCGCCTCGTGGAGGGCAGGGGCGTTTGGAGCCCCCGGATCCTTGCAGTGCTCCCCCGTTGTGTAGCAGCTGCTGGTTTGCACTGGAGGCCCATGCCAGGGAATACCTCAGTTGCCTCCAGGGTGCCCTTGGTTTCTTGGGTTTCGATGGTTTTGCTGTTGAAGGCGTGGCGTTTTCACACCAAAAGTCGATGGAACTCCTGGAGTCTCAGGGTTGGGCTTCCTGTGGAAGGTTTCTCGTGGTCGGGCCTCTGCTGTTCCATACCTTCCTTCCGCCCCCCCTCGCCCTCGGCCGCTGGCCCCGTCTTCACTAGACTGGGGCAGGCAAGGCTTCTGGTGGCAGGCCTGGGCGCCGTCGTGGAACAGTATGGGAGCCTCACGCGAGGGCGATGGGTAACCTTCGAGACACATGGAAGTCCAGTTGTTCCGAGCTTCCTTTCATGCTGTGTATATGGAGTGCCTCTTGGAACGGCTGAGGGCTGCTTGAGGCTACGTTGGGCAGAATCGTGCAGCTTCGACAGTCTTTGGTTTCCTCTGAGTATTGCGAAGGTCTTTCGGCCGGTGCCGCCGACCCTGAAGACGACGAAAATGAAAGGGCGGGGAGGGGTGCAGGGGGAGGAGGAGTGGCAGGAGGAGGAGGAAGGGGTGCAGGAGGTGGATGAGGGAGGAGGAGGGGGGGACGGATGAGCAGGGGCGGGGGAGG